AGAGCAGCTGCCGGGTCCTCATGTCTCGCCTCTCAATCTTACCTGCCAGGTATCCCTGAGGCCAGTCAGTCCACCTCCGAACACAACCGGTAGGCATTCCTTGTGATCATTTCTCCTCAGTCTGTCAACAGGTGAGTGGCCGACGATACCCAGCTGGTCACAGAGAGGTGGTCAGGGCAGCGGGATGCTTTTGCAGTGCCAATCCAGCAACAAGGCCAAAATGAAGCCAGCACCTCAGCACTAACAACAGACTAGGAAGGCGGAGTCCCTAGACAAAACCGGGGCAGCACAGTGGCTGATGTGCATGACTTTTAAGGAGACCCTTATTCAGAAAGAACTAATGAATACTGAGTGCCTGATTCGGGAGAATTTCCTTCATAGACACTATTTCCTTTAAGTCTAAAATCCAGCCTGTGACTGGTAAATGTCATCATCCCCAACTACAAGTCATTTCCAACTTGGCTCATGCAAAGTCACAGACGTAAGGCACCATCCATATGTGAACTCCAAGGTCATGGCCATGTCTCTGCCTGCATTTTCTATAACATCAGAACCCTTTTCAGCCAGAAGGCTTTAAAAGCAAAGAAATGATCCGCCTTACTGGGCTCAAAGCATGCTCTCCCACCTTTTCCCTCTCCCCCACAGCCCATTTTAAGACTTCTGAGAGCCATTCTTATCATTAAAATCCTACCAGGCTGACCTTGGCTACTTAGTGTTGTTGTGATAATAGTAAAGCCGTACAGAACAGTCTTGGTTAACCCGAGCATAGTCTTTCGCGCATCCTTTCAGCAAGTGCTCACTGAATAACTTCCATGGGCCCCGCAGCCTGCTGGGGGCTGAGGAAGCTAAAGAACAGCAGAGCCCTTGCTCTCAAGCAGCTCTCCGTTCCATGGGGACGAGCAGAGCAGGCAGATCAGCCCAATGCAAGGTGCCAAGTACTATGATTGGGGACCCTGGAGACGAGGGGCAAGTCTAGCTCAGTCTGGAGGGTCAAGAAAAAGCTTCTCAACCAGAGGAGGTGACACTGGAGCTGGGCTAAGTGAGTGGCCAGGAGAAAGCAGGGGAGGGGTATTTAAGGCAAAGGGAACAGGGTGTGTGTGTGTGGAGGGGGCGGTCTTTGATTGCCACATGCGCTATATTCTACCTTTAGGATAGAGGGGGGAAATCTTGCATCTCATGGGCTCAGTTCATTTTTCTTTTTTAAAGCATGTTCTAGACTGTGAGCCCATGGTCAGCCCAATTTCCTGGCACCCTTATGCCATTAGCCACAGGCCAGAACAGGGCAATGGATGCTCCGAAACATGAATTTCAGTGTCTTGTAAAATCCTGAATCATCAATGAAAGGTTCAGTTTCGTTCGCCTAACTGGACTTCCCCACCTAAGCTGGAGAAAGGATGTGCAATGTATCCACTAACTACGAATGCTTGAAAATCAGGGTCTCAAACCCAGCCCAACATGGGTTTTCCTGTACGACTCCCAATGAATCACAATCCACTTTCCCACCAGCACCCTGTCTCATCCCAGATTTCCCTAACACTGTGGCGCCCTGGGTTCTGAGCGACCCCTGTTTTGATTCCAAACTCCATTGCTAGCCATTTGCCAACTGTGAGCTGGGAAGAGGAAGCAGAGGCATTACCAAGAGGCTTGCATCACCAATGGGGTCAGGGGCACCCAGTGACACCTAGTGAAATACCCAGCGTCCTGCAATTGTTGGCAGTGGTCAGAACTGGGATCTGGGCTCAGAAAGAGAGCTGATCCCCTGCACTCAGATGTGAGCTCCGGAAATATATGCTGTGGGATCTTGGACAAGTGGTTTTATCTCTGGAAGTTTTCGTATCCTCATGTACAAAATGTAGATAATAATTCCCACCTCATAGGACCATGGTGACAATGGAACGATTTGCATGTCTGACAATACCTGGCTAGGTATCCGACTCCTTCTCCCACTGTCTTCAATTTTCCTGAATCCTCTATGGGAAACTGAGGCTACAGGTTTTGGCACTCTCAAACTTGCTTCTGGGTGATGGAATAATTCTAGAGAAGGATAATTGAGGCTCTGGCCCTTCCCCAGACTGGGCAATGCAGGGCTGGGGTGCTGGCTGGAAATGTGGGAGAAGAACGAGGGAGCTCACAAGCTCCAGCGGGACCCCAGTATATATTGGACATCAGCCAATACATACTGATTGCCATTTATGTGCAAAAGGACATGTGAGCCTGTGTATGTTTGTGTGCACTCAGATAATCTTTGTGCCTTTTTTTATGATCACATATTCCAATGTTAACTTCAGTTCAATTTTACTAAATACAGTGGGTGCATGTATTTTTAATCTCGTGTTACCACCTGAAAAAAGCAAAGGGAACAGCCACGATTGCTAATCCTCTCCAGCCACTGACTCCTGCAAATGCATGTGGTCGCCAAAGGCTGGACCCCCCAAAACCCATGTTCCTGGATAGATGCTCCTTCCCTCTTGCTGGTTCCTTCCTTTCCGGGGAGGCACCCTCTCCAGCAACCTCTCTGAAGAAACCTGTTGCCAACGCAGAGGTTCTGTACCGTTGCCCCCACCTGGTGGCCAAATCTGGAAAAGCTTTCCAACCAAGGAAGATTGGCAGGTTGTCTAACTCCAAAGCTCCCTGAACTCCCCAGACCCCAGACAGTCATGGGTCAATGGGAGGAGGGCAGAGAGGAATATCCACTAGTAAAGGCACAAGAGGGGTCAAGGTCATGGCCAAGTCCCTGCCCAAACCCTAATAAAGGTACAGCCTCCTGAGAAGCAGCCATCAGGATGACTAAGCCACAGAGGAGGAAAGGGGTAACTGGAAGTGCCCTGCCAGCCCTGAGGTGCGTGCTGACGGCCCTGAGTTCCCCTCCTGGGGGAGGAGCCAACACTGCCATCCTTGCCCTCTCCCCACATACAGGAGGACGCTCTATCTGGCAGGTGCAGAACGGAGTTCCATCTTCCTTCTGGCCACGCATTTACACCCTGACTAGCAAGGAGGCACTTTCTAGAGGAAAAAGGTGCCTGGCGGCAAACCTCTAGCCCAGGCCCCTTCACATTCCCCACGCCCCTGCTCAGCCCAAGTGAGAGGAGGGGCAGCAGTGGAGGCTGAGGGGATATCAGGACCAAATCACGGAGATGTTTCAGCCAAAATAAGCCCGTGAGGCCCTCACCTCCTGGCACGAAGCTGCAGCCTGTCAGCCTAGGCTTACAGCCTGAGTGAGACACACACTCACTCTTCCTCGCTCCCATTAACTTCCCCCCAAAGCACCCAAAGACATGCATTTTGACCAGTCCAAGCCCCCAGTGAGAGCCACGCACGCCAGGATCTTTTCTATTCCAGGATGGCGCCCTAAGAAGGAAGGGTAGTTAGTACAAGCAAGCAAGCAATCTATACCCGCGCTCGCGCGCGC